CAATAAAAATGCAATTCTCTCAACATTAAAAATCCCACTCTCTCATTGATAAAATGCCGTCCTATTATTAAAAAAAATCTCATGCGCTTGGTAATAAAATTTTTCATCCCATTGAAAAATTAAAATGCCATCCTATTATTATTATTAAAATATGTCAGCTTGTTATTAGTACAAATGCAATCCGCTTATAAATAAAAATTGCCATGTCATTGAAACTGTCATCCTCTTAGTAATGAAACTGGCATCCTCTTAATAATAAAAATGTCATTTTTTGGAAGATAAAAAGTGCCAAGGTGTTAATAAATGGCATGCGATGTATAATAAAAATGCACATGTCAAGTTGAGAAAAAAAGAATATAACAATAAGGATTTTTGTTCTTTAAAAATGGAAAAACTCTGGAATTTGAGATTTTTCTCTCTAATGAAAATAATAATTCAAACAAATAAACTCAAATACAATAACTTCTTTGTGCGCAAGTGTTCACAAAGCCCGCTTCAGCGCAAGACGAGAGTGTGCATGCTGCTCAGTTACGAGGGCTCGAATTTGAGTCCTCAAGGGCTCCGATCTTTTAAAGAAATAATAAACATATGTTCAATATGATAGTTGGAATAGCGAACGGGAGAGCTGACCTGGCACCCGATTCGCGCCAAGGTCCGTGCCACCAGACCGGATAGTGGAAAGGGCGATTTCTGGAAAGTATCAAAAATCTGACATTAACCAAATGAGATTTCCGTTGGAAACAAAATCATAAAATTAGTCTCATAGAACAACTCTCAAAAGCATCAAAAACGAGCTAAACGTTTCATCATTGCCAAAGACCACCTTTCAAACCCAGCAGTCAATCTATAAATCCTATCGCTCATTCTCATCTCTTTTTTTTTTAAATTTGTAATGCCTCGAAGCAATTCAAGTTGTTTCTAGCTCTGTGGTGAAAGTTTGAATTTTTATTGTGCCCATCAGTGAATGCACTTTGATGCTGTTTTTGACAAACTTTCTTTCTATATTTTATTTGGCCCATTATTGAGTGCTCTGACACAACAATTGAGAATATAGACGAAATATAGAACATTCGGGCAGATACAAAGGATTTTCTAAGGTGAGAAGATACACATGTTATGAAAAAAGAAGATAAGACCATATCTCAACCCTGGATTATCACAAATGTCTAAGAATCATCCTTGATCTTTAAAACGGTCCAGATTACAACCCTAGACAGTCCAAACCGGTCAAGTTTCAACCATGCCCTCTCCTCAAACTGGGTTTTGGTTAGATGAAGTGGTTTTGACCAGTTGGTCGCCCTGTCAACTGCTTAGTCAGCTGCCACAACATCCACTATTTTGTTGAATATGTTTAGAAAATGGTTTGAAACTTTCCCAAAATTATCACCATGGTAGCGCTGATTTTATTGATTTGTTTCAAAATTTTCTAGACACTTTCTTTTTTCGTCAAATTTGATCAAAAAAGGGGGATGGATATGTATTTTTCTTATATCTTATTTTTTATGGCAAAAAGGGTTGAAACTTTCCAAGAAATGTCACCATGGTAGTGTTACATAGTGCTTTCAAATTTTTCTTGAACCATTTTTTGTAAAAATTTGTACTAAGTGACGTGGCAGCAGACTAGGTGGTTAACTGGCCAAAACCGCTATAACTCATGAAAAACTAGTTTGAGGAGACCGCAGAGTTTACACTTCACATGATTTAACAGTTCGTGGTTGTAACTTAGATGGTTTTGAAGTTCAGGGTTGACTCTTAAACACTTGTGACGAAGTGTCTCAGAAGATAATGAAATATCAAACACTATCTAAGAATTATTCATCAAATTGAGAAATAATCACTCCTTAAAGAGATATAAGAGCATTTAGATCACTAAAATAGGGATCTAAACGCTGTTATATTTCTTTACAGAGGAAGTATATAGTATATGTTTTTGTGTTGCCGCACTCTTAAGTCCCGCTATCGAGGCATTCCATTCTGCATTTCTCACATAACACCTCCTTCGCCCCATGCAGAGATCAGAGCTGCTAAGGGAGATCTTCAATGACCACGCACACGTGGAGTTTGAAGTTATGATCCGTGTCGTCGTCCTCTTTATGCCATGACTTGAGAAGGAAGCTGTTGGTGTCGACCCACAACATGACTTGCCTCACAATGGTGTCGCGGTGAGGGAAGGTTAAAGTGCACCCGAAAATTTTCCGGGTGACAATTTGTGAAGCGCATCAGGTGCGGTGAGACCGTGGCGAGGGCGATAGCATGGTGGCGTATGATGAAGATGATGTTCTCCATGGGCGGTGTGGACATGATCACCTTGTTGCTGAGCATAGGCGACATGAGGGATCGATTTGGATGGAGGGATCCATGGCCAGAGCTAGCAGTGGTGGGGAAGTTGGAGGAGGGAAATGAAGTCGCAGATGCAACGGAGCCCGGAACGAGACTAGCACGAGATGCTCTTTAGCAATGCGGCCGGAACCGTGACTTTTGGGGGTTTTGATGGCACTCCCTTCTAAAGTGGTCAGAAAGCTTGCAGATGATACAGTGGATGGGATCCTTGTAATCATTGCGGCCGTGATGCGAGCTAAGCCATCTGAGGCACAACCCCATGAAGTTGCTTATCAAGGCCTCCCTCCCTACCTCCGCATTGTCTTGTCGGCGGTCCAAGCGCTGCTACTATGGTTACTCCTAGTTATCCAACGAGCGCATTTAAGCATCGATCCAGGCGAGTGAGCGAACGTGTTAACGTAGACCTGGGTGCCTGGCAGGGTCGATGGACCTGAGGAGGAGACCGTCAAAGGACCGGTGGGTTGATCGTGATCTAGAGCAGAACACCATCAAAGGACGAGACCATCAAAGGACTATCAAAGGAGGAGACCATCAAAGGACCTCCCACAAGTTACCGTCGGAGGAGGGCAACCGAGGGGAAGAGGAGGGCCCCATGGGGTCAGAGACCGTGGCGTTGTTGCCCCAGCGGGCAGCAACGGAGGCTGGTGGCGGCCATGGCCAGGGTGGCCGAAGGCGGAGGCCTAAGCTCGCAGTGAGGGGAGAGGTTAGCCCGACTAAAACAAGTGACCACTCCAATTTCCTGTTAGTTAATCTGGGGTACGAGGACAGGTAAGGTCGCTACTAGTTCGAGTGAAATACTAGTGTGTCTCACATGGCCAGAGAGCAAAAGTGAATGTCCCGTTACTCCCGTACTCTAATTCTTGTCACAATGCATATCTAATGGTTGTGGAATTTGCAGGCGGCACTAACCACCGGGCACCAGGAAAAAAACTCTGGAAGTTGAATATATGAGGGTTTTGGTGTTTCATTTGAAGGGAGCTGTAAAAAAGTCCGATTCTGCTAGATATACAGGATCTGTCCGGGTCAGTTTTCTGCTCTGGAACCAGAAAACGTTGGTTATTTTACGGGCCGGTGAGTTTTGCGGGATCTGCTAGAGTTGATCTTAGATCTTACGTTTGCGGTTTAGTTGTGCAGGTTTAAGGGTTTTAGTTTTTGTTTTTCAAAATTGATGCATTTATCATCCGTTCCTACCAAGTTTTATTAGTTGAAACCTAGCAAAGTTTTTATAACTTGTCAAAACATATTCAAGATTGGTCTTATTTCAAATCCCTCATCACAAGGAATAGGAATATGGACATGTAATATGAATTAGACATTTAGTTCAAGATATAACAGATATGAATGTACAAGTCAAAAGAAAAACAATGTGATATCTGCAAGAATGGGCCATTCAGTCTCTGACAAAGTTTGGAGCGAAGGATACAACAAATGCATGGGGTAATTATGCACTAAGAACATTTATAGTATTATAGTAGAGGTGGAGGTATCTAACGACACCACATACCTTTGGACAAAGAGCTCTCTTGTCTAGTCAAAGATGTACGAGTGAAATCCTAAAAGCAAGTAAGATATAGATATGCCACTGGATTTGATGGGTTTGGTCTTTGGTCCATCCTGCTTCTAGATTTGACAGCACACTCACATACAGCAAGGAAGAAAACAGCTAGGACCTTCCTTTCCTGAGAGGCTCTGCCTCCCGGTGAGCACATTCGCTACATTGTCCCCTACCTCTCATCAACATAACCAAGCTGACTCCAGTGCTTACATAGACCCAAGAAGCACAGACCATGGGCTGATGATTCTTCCCCCTACCGCACATGCCACATAAGCACTTACATATGGGTCCCATGTGTTAGTTGGTCTCTAACCAGCTGTGTGAAATGGCTGGTTTGGTCAAGATGAGAAATTAACCAAAGTGAAAAGAAAATATATTAAATGATTTGGTTATGCCAGAGATGTACCTCAAATTTCTTTTTTTTTGGTAGAAGTCATTCTATCTGCTCTATTTTTTTTTGTAGATCATGTAAGAAAAGACTCCCAAAATTTTCATCAAACTTCTTAGTTTTGTGAATTTCTATTCATGAGCACGAGCCTAGGTTTGGAGTTCATTTACCGTAAAGTTATTCTTTTTCTTTCTAAAATTAATCTTCCTCTTTGTGATGGTTGTTGCCGAAATTTGCCCCATGCCACGAACTAAAAATGGACACAGCTAAGCTGCATAGTTTTTTTCCAGCTATTAGATCCTTCATCTAACAGAACTAACAGTAGCAAAGAAAATTAATCTACTAGATATGTTTTTTCCGGCCATTTAAAAGTTGGTATAAGATCCACATATGTTTACCTGTGGGCTCCTTTGATTCATAGGATTTTCAAATGGTAGTATTAGGAGAAATATATAATTGTAGTGGCTTGTCCTCTATATTCCGCAAGGGTGTTTGATACCACAAAAAAAGCATATAAATAATAAATAAATAGTTTGAGTGGCTTGAAAATTTCATCCGAAACATAGTGCAAAGCAACCCTATGAATTTTTTTCCTAAGGATCCCAATCTTATGAAACAAACAAGCTATGTAGGAAAAAAAAACCTATGGATCTGAATCCTACAAAAATCAGCTATGATATTCCTTTGATTGAAAGGGAACCTGGATAGGAACATACCGCATAGATTGGAATCTGCAATATACTAAAAACACGAAGATCTACATACAAGGCGACAAAGAAGATGTAATAGTTACTTCGAAATCGCACATTTCGGGGAGAGTAAATAGCATGTTTGTTCAGATAGTGGAGAGCTATCTAAATGCACTTGCTCCATCTAAAATTGAACTAAATCCCACATATATTCACTTGTTACGTACCTGACGACATCGCGCTCCAAAGCCAACAAAGGAGAGTAGCTATCCGCTGCTCCCCGGGCGTCCTTGTGACTCGTGAGTGATATGAACAGGTGTTAGTTCGTTTGGCACGCTAGCCTACAGATAAGTAGGAGTCTGTGCCCCAGCATTCCTCGGGTGGGCCGAAAGGCGAAGCATGTGCGAGCACGACAATAGTAAGATTAATTAGCATGCAGCCACCGGGGGAAAAGACGAAGATTACGACAAAATTAACATGCTACATTCTGAAAAGCACGCACGCCTCTGCGCCAGCGCACGTTATCTCGTGCTAAAAGCCGGTCGACAACAAAAGATAGATTCCTTGCTTCAAACGACCGACCGACAGGCGTTGCTAGTGACAAATGCTGAAACGCCCGTGAGCCAAAGTACAAACATTACTTTTTTATCTAAGATACTTATTATACAGCACATACCGCGACGACCAGCGGTCTTCCTCCAAGTCTTCGTCGCCACGCTTGACTAGTCGTCGTCGCCAGCCCGGCTAGTTACCGTCATCAACCAGCACGGCATAAAGCAATGCCTTATTCAACTAGAACAAAATACCCAAACCTCTATATCTGGGGAGATTTTTGCCCCCACGTCTCGCCACTTGGCCGATGGGGACTGGGAGGCACATCAGTTGTTGACATGTGCATTTGTTTGGGAGGCTACGGGGTAGAAAACGTGTGTGACCGTAGGCCTTCGATCAAAATTTTGTTAACTGATTCGCATTTTTCCGTGTGCACTTGGGGCGTCTTTAGCATTTTGGTTCAGATGATTGTTTGTTATAATATTCTAAACCCTACTAGGTTTCTTTTACCCTATTTTTTTGGCTTTTTTCTATCAGTGAAAAACCAGTCAATCGGGTCACGCCACGTTGTTTACTGGGGGATATGGCTAGGTACACTTTGGGGTGGCTGTAGCAATTTCACATTAGATGTGAGACATTCCTCGTACCAGCACATGGGTTGTATGGTTGACTACGTATTTTTTGTCTGCTTCCTATTTAGATGCATCTGTGAACCACCATCCGGTTGCATGCTTTCTTGTTTTTTTGCCTTTACGAAGAGGTGTGTTGCATGGTTGCCGATTTATCCCCATCTCTCCCGAAGGATCTTATCGAATGCGTGCACGGCTTAACCACTGCTTCGCCGTTGTAAGGAGCCTATAAAAACTGTCCACGGCAGCATCGCCATTCAGTCTGTCGCGGAGCAGCAGTAGCCACCCCGACCCTTCTTCCCTACCCCGCTTTATCTTTCGTCTTGCTCATGCCCTGCTCCACCGTCTAGGGGTGGCTCGCAGCCCGCCTAGAAACGGCCCCATTCTTTCTCTGCCCGGCAGACAGCACCTCGCATGCAGACGCGCCGCCGCTGCCGTCGTGGATAAATCACTGGCAGAATCCCGTGCCGCTAAGCTATGCTGCTTTACTTGCCTATAAAAGGTACTCATCACCTCTCCTGACGGTCGCTACCTCGCCTTCCTCCCCGTTCTCCTCAAGACCTCGACCCACCTCCTCCTGCTGCAACTCCATTTCTCGAATGATCTTATGCAGGTATTGTCTTGGAGGAGATGCCCTCATGATGGTGATGGCCTGTGCGCGCGGCGTGGCGGCGCTGGCCACGATCAGCGCGCGAAAGAGATGGCTCCCACTATTGCCGGCCAGATCTCCCGTCAAGCCGTCTACCAAGCTCGTGGGCCATTTCCTACAACGGTGGCGGCAGCCACAACACCAGACTGGGGCACGGGCTCCGCCTCAAGGTGTACCTCGCCATTGGTCGTTGCTGGGCTTCTCCACCTAGCTATGAACAACGCATCGGCAATCACCGAGCTCGGCCTCGGAGGCGGTCAACACGTGCGGTGGCGGACAGATGAAAGAGGTCCAGTGTTGGCTGGTGGGCAACGTGTGCGACCATCGGAGGCACGCGACATCTCCGGACGACGACAATGCAGGTACCGGGCTCCGGTGGCATGTGACGGAGGGGCGTCGACAATCTGGGTGGGGCAGGAGGTCGATGAGGAAGGTGGCTCGCGGTGTCGAGCATGAGGTACGATTGGACGACACAGGACGGGCGAGATGCCCGCAGTCCCAATGGAAGCGAGCTTGAGGCATCAGCGAGCTGAGCGGTGTCTTGACTCTCGTGAGCACCATCGACGAGCTTCTCCTCTCTCCAGCTAGCTTCCCCTTACGCGCACTTCACCCAGGGCCGCTTCTGCTGCCACACGGTGGCCACACTCGCCTCCAACGCCTCGCTCCTCTGCCACGATCACATCTTCACGCTCCTCGTGCTGACAAGGGACCCGAGGGATTAGGTCACGATGCTGCCACTAGTAGAAAACAGGGCTTTGGTCCAGGCCGGGTCAGCCCATTAGTCCCGGTTCAGTCCAGAACCGGGACCAATGTGGTCATTGGTCCCGGTTCGTGAGCCCAGGGGGCCGGCCGGGCCACGTGGGCCATTGGTCCCGGTTCATCTAGACCTTTTGGTCCCGATTGGTGGGATGAACCGGGACCAATGGGCCTCGCTCCTGGCCCACCACCATTGGTCCCGGTTCGTGGCTTGAACCGGGACCAAAGGCTTCCCTTTAGTCCCGGCTCATGTCACCAACCGGAACCAATGAGGTGCCTATATATACGCCTTGCTCGCGAGCAGAGCACCCCAGTGCTCTGTTTTTCTTTGGCCGAGGGGGAGAGGGCTTGGTGGTGCTCTAGCTCACCTCCTATGCACACAAGGTGTTCGATGGAATGCCCGAGCCACACTACTTAAGCTTTCTCCTCTCCAAGCTCGACCTCCAAGCTCCATTTTCCATAATATTTGTCTAGGTTTAGCGGTCCGTCACGCCCCGTCCCCATCTTCACCACCGTCGATCACCCGCGCCGAGCTCATCGCCGGCACCACCGTGGTGAGCCTCTTGTTCTTATCTTCTTTCTGAAAAGAAAAATATTCTTACTTGTATGTTTACATAGATACTTGTATTATTTTCTTACTTTTATTATTGCATCTTATATAGTGCGATGGTTTTGGTATCCACCCCCATCGGCCCTCGTCCTGTCTATGATTCGGATGTGGTATATATATTATCTTTATAACTATTGGTTCATTTATTGTTTATGAAAATTATGCCGACCAACGTGACATAGATTTTATTTATGTAGGATGTATGTGAATCGGAAATGCCAACCGACCCTATTGTCGAGAGGTTAAATTTAGTTGAAGAAGAAAACAATTTGTTGAAGGAAAAAATAAAAAAAATTGAGGAGGAGAAGATGATATTGGAGTTGCATGTTGCGGATGTCGTCGATGATCACAAAATCAAGATGGATGCAATGCGCTTGAAGATTAGAAAGATTAGAAAATATGCCATTAATACCGAGGCTTGGTATCATTATGCCGTTGGATCAATTGTTACCTTGGTTGCGATTATGATCGCATTTGTTTTCGCATTGAAATGTTTTACATAGTTTCAATGTATGGTTTAATTAATTAGATGCTCTGGAGAGCTATATGTTGTTAGATGAGAACTATGTATGCACTTTGGTTTTAATGTGATGATGAGCTTCTATTAATTTGGACACTTAATTATATATAATGCACGCAGATGAACCGACAATGGATGTACGGTGACAGACACACCCGCGAGTACATTAAGGGCGTGCATGAGTTTCTCGATGCGGCTGAGGCAAACAAGCAGAATGGTTTTATGTGTTGTCCATGCACTGAATGTGGGAATACGAGGTCTTACTCTAACCGGAAAATCCTTCACTCTCACCTGCTTTACAAGGGTTTCATGCCACACTATAATGTTTGGACGAGGCACGGAGAAATAGGGGTTGTGATGGAAGACGGCGAAGAAGAGGAGTATGATGACAACTATGTGCCCCCTGAATACGGTGATGCTGCAACAGGGGGAGCTGGTGAAGATCAAGAGGAACCAGACGATGTGCCCAATGATGCTGCAACGGGTGAAGCTGCTGAAGATCAAGAGGAACCAGACGATGTGCCCGATGATGGTGATCTCCGCCGGGTCATTGTCGATGCAAGGACGCAATGTGAAAGTCAAAAGGAGAAGCTGAAGTTCAATCGCATGTTAGAGGATCACAAAAAAGGGTTATACCCCAATTGCGAAGATGGCAACACAAAGCTCGGTACCGTACCGGAATTGCTACAGTGGAAGGCAGAGAATACTGTGGCTGACAAAGGATTTGAGAAGCTATTGAAAATATTGAGGAAGAAGCTTCCAAAGGATAACGAATTGCCCGACAGTATATACGCAGCAAAGAAGGTCGTATGCCCTCTAGGATTGGAGGTGGAGAAGATACATGCATGCCCTAATGACTGCATCCTCTACCACGGTGCATACAAGGATCTGAACGCATGCCCGGTATGCGGTGCATTGCAGTATAAGATCAGACGAGATGACCCTGGTGATGTTGACGCGAGCCCCCCAGGAAGAGGGTTCCTGCGAAGGTGATGTGGTATGCTCCTATAATACCATGGTTGAAACGTCTATTCAGAAGCGAAGAGCATGCCAAGTTGATGCGATGGCATAGTGAGAACCGAAAGAAAGATGGGAAGTTGAGAGCACCCGCTGACGGGTCGCAGTGGAGAAAAATTGAGAGAAAGTACTGGGATGAGTTTGCAAAGGACCCAAGGAATGTATGGTTTGCTTTAAGCGCGGATGTCATTAATCCTTTCGGGGAGCAGAGCAGCAATCACAGCACCTGGCCCGTGACTCTATGTATGTATAAACTTCCTCCTTGGATGTGCATGAAGCGGAAGTTCATTATGATGCCAGTTCTCATCCAAGGCCCTAAGCAACCCGGCAACGAAATTGATGTGTACCTAAGGCCATTAGTTGAAGAACTTTTACAACTGTGAAATGGAAACGGTGTACATACGTGGGATGAGCACAGACAGGAGGAATTTAACCTTAAGGCGTTGCTGTTCGTGACCATCAACGATTGGCCTGCTCTCAGTAACCTTTCAGGACAGACAAACA